AGATGACCCTCTGGCTCACAAACTCTTTATTCACCTGCTGTCACCATACATAAAACAGCTGAATTGCTTAGTCCTTGGGTGAGAAATGTAAAAACAAGAGCGAGCATGGGAAGAGCTTACAGTGAAGTTCACTTCCCATCACTGTTGCTTCATCCCCTTCACATAACTTACAATGATGAGCTGTTTCTACTGGACCTTTGCAAACCTCACCACGTTCCACCCAGAGACTGTATTGTACCAAGATTTTCCTTCACAGCCCAAAATTAAAGTCAGATAAACTCTTCCCAGAAAACAGAACTGCAAAGTCTTTTAAAGTTACAACCTTTTTTTCTTTTGTTCTGAAACTTTTAGCATGAATTTTTGCATTGCATCTCTCTCTGGTTCAAAGAAAGATGCAGTAGACAAAGCTGTTAAATTGGATATTTGGAGGCTAGTGAGGGAGGGGTTGTTGAAGATCTGGATTATAACCTTCCAATGAATCCTTCTCAACTTTCCCTCTTTCAGATTATATACGTATTTCATAAAATAAGTCTCTGCAGTGAAACCGTGCTGGCTCTACATGGTAGTGTACCAGATGGTATGCAAACCAGCAGCAAGAGAAATAGGCAGAATTTAATTACCTATCAATAGCAGTGGAAGAGCACTCAGAGACCTACACACACCACTGTAGAGGAATATTAACAGCCATGTTTATGCACAAACACTACAAGGCAAATCAAAGACACCTCTCCTCAACTGCCCTGTTCAAATTAGCTCTTGTCTGGGCCAATGAATAATCAATTGTTCCTCTAACAGCCACTGTCACCTCACCTGAATGAGTAACAATTCCACATGCGCCTCTCAATTTGTTTCAGGTTATTTCTCTAAAGTATTTCAAAATATCCACTAATACACTTGCATGTGCATTTTTCACTCATGGAATGAAATATTCACCTTGCTAAAAAATAGGTCGCAACCTGTTCTCACAAGCTGTTACATTTTTCAAAAATTCAGCTCTGTGGAAAAATGAACTTTTTACATTAAACCTTTCTAACTCCAGCTTGCATGCACCTGTTGATCAGAGATCTTATGTGGCTCTCAGGGAAGAAAATAGCTTTCCTGTTTTCTGGAGATGAGGGTGGAGTGCTGTGGGAAGAAAGTTACACTGTTGTGAAAGAGGGTATAAGGAGACTTGTAGGAACATAAAGAAGTTCCAGTCTGATCCAGACTGTACTTCCACAACTACCATTGATGGCATTTGGAAGGCCCCGGATTTTGCCTACAGACTATCCATTTCTTCTATTTGTTTGTTGGTTTTTTTTTTTTAGTTGTTTCAGACATTACATTCAAGATGGTTTGAGAGCCCAGGCTGAGGGACTACGGCCAAATCAAGTTGAAAAAGGGATTTTTTCCAGTAAGAGAGAGAGAAGAAAATAGCTTAAACTATCTGTGCCTATTCACATATGTTTACCAAACATGAAACTTTGAAGACTACACTGTTACGAAGCATATTTCCTGTCTGGCTGTATATAATCATTTCACTAACTGCACCTTTATTATGATTGAAAATCATGCAGCAGGAAAGCCTGCCCAAGGTCATTATCTAATAAGAAAGCACTGTTTGTTTACCAGAGCCATAATGCAAACCTTACATTTTGAACCATATTTTGTAGTATGAATGTAATTTAAATTCAAGTGCCATTGCCTGCAATCCATTTTTAAAGTAATGCTGCTACTTCTATTGTCACCACAGATCCTTCACCCTCTTTCATTTAATAGTGTCACTACAATGTGTCATAGCCTTTATTTTTCTTTTCAGTGTAGTTTAATAAAGTTTTCCCTCACTGCTCATCAAAATCTAATATATAATATCTTAAGCCAAGAACCATATAAGCTTGGATTTTGTGTTGAGGCTTCTACTTTTTATGGCTTACTTTCAACCAAGTCTATAAATCAGACATGAGTTCCATTAATTCAGTGTGTTTGGAATGATAGATAATGGAAACATTCTTAAGGCAAGAAATATTTTTTAAAAAATGCTTTTAACATTATACATCTATAAAAGGAAAAGTTTGCTGATTATTTCAGGTGTCCAAACTAAAGGTTTGATTGAAGGAGGCCTGACTTTCAAGGACTGAAGCTTCATAACTGGTTGGTCAGAGGCACCCAAAATCAGTAGACATATTGCACTACCCTGGCAGATGTCAATTTTCAGAAGTTCACTGGGAATCATTTATCACTTTGCCACTTAAGAACACATCAGTGAGCAAACATTGTAGCCATGTTACAAAACATGGCTAGTAATATGATAAACAATTAAAAAAAAAAAGAATAAGGGCTTTCTACAAGTATGCAGCACTGTAACTCAACTAATAACCATATAATCACTGCTCCTCTGGCTGGAGTTATAAGCTCCTTTCAAGAGTAGTTCTGTGAGCCAACAAAAGCTGTTTTCCTATGGATTTCAGGTTTTTTTGACCATGTGTTCCCAAAAAGATGTGTCTCTTTCATGAGTAGATGCTACATAAGACCTCTTCCCCCTATGGCTTGTCTGATGTTTAACAGCTCAAGTACAAACTGACTCTCCTTAAAGGAGAGAGAATATGGAGATTCTCCACCTGCATCATTGACTTCTGTTTTCACAAAACCAGGGAAATATCATTCTTACTGATATTTTAACTCCTCTGCCAAATTTGGCTGAAATTGACCCAAAGCTATTTGTGGGAGAGAGGAAACATGTAGCTGTATGCACATGACACAGAGGACGACCTCATAAATCTCTGCCCATTATGTGAGATTTCCAGCTCTGATTTTGTGGGAGGACGCTGTTTCCAAATACCTCTCTCTATTTCAGTACTTCCGCAGGTTGTTAACAGTTTTGCTGTCCACTGGGGAAAATACAAATCTCTCCTAACGTAATTTAAGAGTGTGAGAAAGAACTCAGCGCTCTGATAGAGTGCCTTAAAAATGAGACTTTCAAAACTGAAAATTCAATTGCGATTTGCGTACTAAAGCAGCAGAACTGCCTTAAAGGAGCCTGGAAAAGGCAATATATTCAAACAAAGAAATGAGTCTTCTTTGTCTTAATCTACTGTGTCAGAAGATTGCTTTATTTAGCAATTTATTTTATCCACAGTTCATAAAAACCAGCGAAGTCCATCAGAAACTAATGCATTTATTTTTATAATACTTCTGAGGTTATTACACAGCAGCAATCCCCTAACCCTGTGTGCATTCAGAAGCCAAAATACTTGTTGTACTTAATCATACTTAAGTGACGTCAGTAAAAGCTCACAGTGACCACTCTGCTGGAGACCTGTGAGAGTAGCAATGGCTTTGACAACCCTAAAACTTCGGTTCTGATTTTCATCTCCTATCATCCTTAATTTCTCCCTCACTCTGCCCCACATGCCAAAATACTGGAGATTTGCCAGTGGCTCCTTATGAGGGCAGGAATTAGCCTTGATGCTGCAGGGTACAAATACCTCAAATAGCCTTCCTTGTACAAGTCACCACATTTTTCAGCTCCATTGGCACTGATGGGAATACCAAGTATCTCCTAGGTATCTCCTAAACCTCATCCCTTCAGGTTGGATCTTCCCGCCTGATACTGTGGCAAGCAGGATCACACATACGGGCTCACTTCTGTAGTGGTGCTTTGTAACAACATGATGTGTTTTATTTACTGCGCCTATATTTTGTTTAAGCATATTTTCTTTTTTCCCCTCCTTGTACTATGCAGGGTCATCGTAATTTTGAAAGACTTGTTTTCAATCTTCTGTCACATAATTAGACTTTGAAGGCTTTATGGTGAAACTGAAGATGCTTTGGCTTTGAAAAGTAAAAGAATTTCTAAAGGCTGAAAAGCTCCCTCTGCACACATTCCTAACATTCTCCCTGAAATATGCAATATTTTCTTAAAACTCTTAAGATCTATGGCTATAGCAAGTTTTATCCGTCTCACAGCTCAGTCATCTTCACTCCTGTAGATGCATACCAGCATATTCATCCAGGGAAAACAGAACTCAGTTTATGTATGAAAACATGTATTTCTTCTTCATTTGCCAAGTTGGACTTGTTTCCTTACAAGCAGTAGTTTAGAAATGTTGTCCTTTAAGTTCTGCATAACTTGGTTTTAATAGAGTTGGATGTCTTAATTTGCACATTGCAATTAAGCCAGTGCAGTACATATAAAACTGAACATTAAATTATTTGTTCAAATTATAAATACATTAATTACATATGCATAACTTGCCAATTGAAGAACTGACTTCTCAACACTTAAGAAGTCCTTATTTGGAAGAGCAGATCTATCCTCTCCAATGTAAATTACTTTCTAAAGGGAAATCCTGCTAGTGAAGGTTGCTAGCACAGAAACAGGCAGATCTCTGCCTAACTCAGTAGGTAGCAACTGATGCTCCAGATCTTCTCCAGCAGGAACCAGTGGACCCTATCCTGAAGGCTGCAATTACTATTCATAGAATTATGGGACAGTTTGCCTGAGCAGCAAAGTCCTTAAGTACCATTACTCAGGCACGTTTAATTGCTTCTTCCTACCTGGGTTCTCATCCACTGCTCCCCAGCACCACCTGCCCTTGCTGAAGTCAGCGGTGAATCTCCCATCCGCTTCAACAGGGGCAAGACAGGGCTCACACGGACCAGGCAGTGCGATGCACCTTTTGCTCTTAATGTGTTAACTGGATCAGACCAAGCTGCTGGATTTGTGTCATTTTTCAAGCTCACAGAACTGCAATGCTTCGTCTGAAGCCTGAACAACTTGTTGCTTTGTTGTACTTTGAGATAAACTCCTCATACAGCACTGCAAGAAAACAGGAGAGTTGTGTTGACAGAGAAAGCAGCAGAGCACTGGGGCTTTTTAGCACTTTGCAACAAGGAAATCTGGGAGAGGAACCCCAGTAATCATTTCAACAAAGCCCCTCCCCACCTCATGCAATCCCTGTCCTGACATTTCTGTGCCACAAACACACACTTCCCCCTCAGCCAGCCCTTGGCTATAAAACCTGCCCTCTCCCTTTGTGCCACAAACTCACCCCTGCTCTGTTGCCTCCCAACTACGCTATGCCCGATTGACCCCCAACTGTGCCATGTTCCTCCAATGTGCCCAGAAATGTCCCCACAGTTCAAGGACACCTACCACCATTGTCCCTCTCCCATCCCTTTTACATACCCTTCACCACTACCTGCTTTGCCTCACCTTGGCATAGCAGAAGGAGATGAGCAGCAGTGGGAGCAGATATCCGAAGACAAATGTGCAAACCACATAGACCTTCTTGTGGCGTGGGTTGGGCCAGTGCTCCCAGCAAAAGGTCTGGTTGCTGGCGTCTCGGTGGAAGAGGCGCTGGTGGTGAGCTACAGGTGAGGCCATGGCAAAGGAGAGCGCCCAGATGAGCCCCACACCCATCAGAGCGTTGCGGGAAACGCGCAAGGCTGAGGAGCGTCGGGAGTGCACAATGGCCACGTATCGGTCCACAGACATGGCCGAGAGCGTGAAGATGCTCACCAGCATGGAGACGGTGAAGAAGTAGTGGATGAACTTGCAGATAAAGGCACCCAGCACCCAGGTGGGGAGCACGTAGACCGTGGACTGGAAGGGGATACAGAAGAGCAGGTAGGCTAGGTCAGCAATGCTCAGGTTAAGGATGAAGATGTTGGTGGTGCTACGGCGTTTGCCTGGCTTGCTCTTCGCCAGCACCGTGATCACCAGCGAGTTGCCCAGCACTCCCAGGGTGAAGATCAAGCCGAAGATGATCAAGGTGATGAAGTTCTCGATACCGATGCCGAAAAGGGGCTTCCCCTCCGCCTCCGGTAGCCCCGAGAGGTTGAACTCCCCGCGGGGCGGCTCTGCCCCAGATTGGGACCTGTTGAGGGGCTCCACCGGCTCCATCCTTCCCCTTGCTCGTCGGCCAAAGTTTCCGCGG